ATTTTTAATGTTTCTAAACATATTTGTGTGGGAACGGTACTAACAAAAAGTAAAAGGCGTATCTACTGGCAGCAGAGAAAGCAACGAGTGGTAAATATTTTCGAAAAATAGTTATTTCAATAAAGTATTTCGCCTGATATCAAATGCCGTTTAGAATGTCTTCAATACACTTCAAAGTGCATTGAAGTATCAATTTATTCATAATTATCTTGCGTGATCTTGCAAAAAAACTCTTTTACTGTCAACGTTTTGTTTCGAGGTTGTTGAAAGAGGACAAGGATAACCATGGTCGTCATGGCAATTCGACGTATGTCAATATTTTGTGACGATTCTTTGCAGTACATCATTACCATGGCAGGACTGCGATATGAAACCAAATTACATATCAACCCAACACACAATATCTTATTTCTAAAATATGCACAAATTGAATAGAATTTAATTTATTATTTTTTAAATATAAATTACCATCCATATAATTTGATCAAAATTTCAACTGTTTATCAGATTTTGATAACGCAAACAATCCATAATACTTAAAACCTTAAACGTTGCAGAATGTTTTTAAAATTAAAAACCGATTTTGCCGGAATTGTTTACAGAAATGGCAATGGCACTGATATTCTTTTTGCGTTTGTGCATTAAAATCCATGTGAAAATTGGAAGTTATGGCAGAAATTTTCAATCTAATTCGAGAATATGATTAGAAGGAGTTATATTACCATATCAATACATAATAAAAAAAAATTGATTCGAATTATATAGATTATTGTTTTACAACAGTGTTGGTACATATTACATATGAATCAAACATGAATCTAATGGGATGATTTAAAGGCTAATTCCACCCTGATATTAAGTTGGTTTTAATAAATGCAGAAAATGAGAGGAACAGATCAGAGAAAGTCTGAGCAAAATCCGATTTAATATAAGAAAGTTATGCATCAAACACAAATTGGCATCTCTTTGACGTATTCTGCGAGGTTCTCTCCATTTGCTCTGTATCAACAACAAAAAATCAGAAATTTATATTTTCCCTGAAGAAAAAATGTTCAATCATACATGCACCCTAAATATAATTATTGCAAATTTTCTATTTGTATGACACAAATCTTTTCCGCCATTAATGGCTAAGAAAATTAAAGTTTATGATTTGTTTGTACATGGCAAATTAGAGAGGACATCGCAAGATACGTCATGGTGTTGCCAATTTATGTTTTTCTGATGAAAGCTTTTACAACTTCATAACTTTCCTACTTTTAATCGGATATTGCTCAAACTTTCACTGATTTGTTTCTCTCTTTTTTCCGGCTTTCATTAATACCAGCTAATTATTAGGGTGAACTTCACCTTTCAATTCAAAGAAAAAGCTCCTGTTTAGGGATTGTTTCTCCTCACTTTGATGTAATAAAAATAAAAAGACAAAATGTCATTATCAAATAATTTCCTGACTGCGTAATAAGAGTCCTTTCATGTTCCCTATACTATAGTTTGCTAAAGTTTTCCATATCTATATCAATTCTGTATGAGTTATTTTCACAAATTTGATGGAGATTCAAAATGTGGAGAAATTTCCGACATCGAATTGGTGGTAGTTGTTTGAACTTAAACTTATGTACTTCATAACAATAGTTGTCATAGACAACATAACACACAAGTATGATAAAAGCATACGAGTTGTAATGTCCAAGAATTGTTTTGAACTATATGGCAATTGTTATCTGGTTACTGTATTCGTAACAACATCGCAATTAAAATTCATGTCGATCTCATTTATGTTTATACACCAAGTGCAGTGGAGAGTGTAAAGAGGGAGTTACCGTTCTTGCAAACCATAATGTCCCGACGATTACTTCGATAAATTCAAAAGAAAATTGTTAACATTATAGACGATTTCAAATCGTATTCAAGAGAAAATACACGACATAATATGGAGATTAAACATATACCCCGTCCCAAACAAAATACAAAAGATAAAAAGACTATACTGATAAAATATCTAGGTTGAATAGTTAAGATGTTGTTTTTTAATTCCTTTAGGAAGCGGAATTTATAAATGAACAATGTCATTAAAGTGAAGAAAAAAGCAAGACAGCTTTACAAGCCATCGAATAGTAAAAATCATGAAAAACGACTCATTAATGACTTTGAACGTAATAATTCAGTAGCTTTCAGCTTATTTGACACAATCCACAGCAAACTTGGGTCAGTGGCGATTTGTACACATTTGAATTCCTCTGCCCGTTTCCACTTAAAACACAAAACATTCTTTTATTTAAAAAAAAGAAACAAGCACGTTCAACACTTCCTATTTTCACTCAAGGCGTACATTCTTCTTTAAACTAAGAGGATTCAGCTGCATTTATATTATCAACTACATACAATGACCATTTATTCAGAAGAAAAAGAAAAATTATCCGTTATCTTTTGTCATTCTTAACACTTAACAGAACCCTTCTCACAAGTAAGCTTACTGAAATACACAATTATAAATTAGTTTCGCGTGTTTCATTGTTCAGGTATAAACCTATTTATCTATACTATTTTCAGATTATTAAGCTCAAGTCAGACTATGATAAAATTTCAATCTTGCCAATGGACAGATTAGCATAACTGGATGCCTTTTCAAAAGAAATTTAAACAAAAGTGAAACGCGATGTTTTTCTTTCATTTTCTTTCGGTGTTAATTCAGATTAAACATTTTTATGAGAAGCATCCTGTTATAATTTTAAAAGTGGCGCAAAAACAGAGAACATTGAATGACTCTAACTCTACTGGAATCTTGTAATGTATTTTTACGTGCATAATAAAAAATAACACCATCGTCTGTTTCACATGCAGCTGTTTAAAACTCACACAAACAAAAAAAGCAGCATTTTATTTTTATGTTCTTGGGATAAGATATAGAGGGCAGCATTTCGTTATCAATCTACAGTAAGCCATCAACCAATCAGAGAGGGGTAAACTATTATCCAATCAAACGTCAAGAATGAGGAACTAAGCCAGTCTTAGATAGCCAGGGTTTTGGAAGAAATAAAAACCCAATGCTAATATTCTGTGGCTTTAGACATCAATGCCATCGGCTTTGCACGAGGAATAACACATGTAAATTAATCTTTGAAGATATCTGAATAATAGAAACTTGCTTATTAATCTTGAACTATTATAGCAAAAAATTTACATAATTGAGATGTGCAAAACTGACAGTCAAATAGGAAACAACTTTAGTGCAGGTCTATCTTATCTTTGTTTGCATTTAAGAAAAAGGGACTCACAATACCTTTCAAAGAATATTTCTACACATTATTTTTAGGCTAATATCAACCATCAATCCATACGAAAATATTCATGTTAATCTGTTTTGGGGAATTTAGTGAAAGTATGAGAAACGGTACATTGCATATTTTCTTTATCGAAATGAATGCAAACAAATAATAATCAAGTAGTAATTGGTTGGTGAATTCATGGAAATGCTCAAGATTTTTGACATTCTAAGGGAACATTATTCTTTGAATAATCTTTAAGATACAACAAGTTATTGAAATGAATCTTATGGGCTAAAAACAGTAGCATGGATGGGTGATGAAATAAATGGTAAAATAAGTTTCACATTTCAGTATAATAAGTTTCTAGTCAGCATGGGATGATATTGTTTGTGATCTATGGGTTGCATCAGCTGCTAATAATCTAATTAGTACAAGGATAAGTAAAATAAATTTCTAGGGATTTCATTCACTATACACAAGAAAGTACATCTATTTCAGATAATAGCATAACTACACGATGATAATACACCAGCTTAAACAATAGAGATTTCATGCAAGCGAAGAACTGAAATAATAACCAATAACGTTAACACTACTGGCATCAATTTATAGGAACCTGCGTAGAGTCACTCGTCCCTATTACTGAGTCACGTGTTTGGAAAGAAATATATAGTGGAAAATACAACAGTTAACCAATAACACAAGCTGCAAAGTATGATAAATAATAACAAACACCAATCATCCTGCTACTTGATTACTTTCATGACAGATAAGAATAAAACTTGACATATTTCATAAGAACATTGTGGCATAAATATATAGCCATGTATCAATATGCAGACTATGTATTTTATAATTTCTTTAGATGAGTTGATCTCAAAACAGTTTGGGATTGGACAGATTGTTGTTTACCTCTACAGCTACCCATCTTTCCAAACCTGATCTATTTCAGTGAATCTGTTTGTATAGAATATTTCAAGAATACTCACCTAGTGTTTGTGTAGTTTCTCTTAATTTTTGAAATATTTACATCCACAATTTCAATGCAACCATATACATCACATCATACTTCTAGACAGGCTTCACAATCATAAGATTTCAAGAACAAAAATCAAACTGGTGTTAAAGTGTCGAGTGGGTAATAGTCAAGTGAAGAACAAAAATCTATTATAAAAAAGACAGATAAATTGTGTCACTGTAATGTATATATTTATAGATATATATATATATAATATTTCTGTGAATGTAGATATTGTACCTAGCAATCATGTTGTTCATTCTTCATAAGTGTGTGCTGTAAATGTACAACATGTCCATGTTGTGTTGCAGCCTTTCAAGAATGACGCTGATATAAAATAGGTAGACCTTTAAATGTGAATACCACATCTCCAAAATTTAAAAGTACTACTACTATATCCTGCGGTGCATTCTGCAACACTGCATTGTGCGTCAAAATTGAAAGTGTGTTTTTGATGAATCCGAAGAATGAAACAAGTTTTGTGTGTGACACTTAAAAAGTGTAATTCTGCAATGTAAATATCAATTGTGAGTGTTTTGTGGGCTCTTTTATATACATTTCTCCTAGGGCCCCACAACACACACAGGTAGATAGAAAACTACGGTATATATAATTCCTCCTCTGTAGTCCTATCTACCTAACATTCTGTACAGATATCCCCCATAATCAATACCTATTACCTCAAGAAAAAGAAGAAACAAAAAAGACATATCACCTTCTCATTTAGCATTTCATCTTCTTCAACAATGTCATTGTAAAGTTTGTTCATTGAATTGGTGTAAAGCTTACTCTAGTGTATTACCTATATATCCTACTGATAACAAGGGAAACTATGCTGTATCAGGGTTTGTATGGTTCTACCTGATTCATATCAGCTAAAACTAATTTCACACAGCATCATAATTACATGTACTAAAAGTAATTAAAACCTCACAATAAAATGCTGACCACCCCCTACGAAGCAAATCACATTAAAACAATTGACTTATGTCAGCACTAAAATGATAATAAAAAAGTAATGAAATAGAAATATTGCACAAGTTTTAAATCTCTCAGACGTGATGGTCTTTCAAATTTAGGATTTCAAGCAGCATAAGTAGAGTACCAACCGTTCACCCTAACTTTTTGCTCTGCAAAAATCCCACATGTACAAAGCTCTTTTTACTTCATACCATTAGAAAACAACATACATTTCAGAGAAGGATTGACACAAGTTCTCATCTTTTACAAACACACAATAGTATCAAAGAAAAAAAAAGGGAAATACAATAATAACTGATGAGAAAATAAAATTAAAAAACATGTGTTTTTCAAACACATTTTTTCTTAATGTAAATGATTTCAGAATTCTGCACTACATCCTCTTCATCTTGAATAGCAACATTTCCTAAGCAAGCCGCAAACAAACAAACACCTTTTTTTTTATAACGGCTGTTTTCACACACTATACATCCGTTTGTTACCTCTACGGACCACCAGAGAGTAATACTTAACTTAGCATAGTTCATTTTACAGTTTCATTTCATAGTTCTGGATCTGTATGGTGGCAGTGCTTTTTCTTCACGGTCTCTCCATAATTATCAGAAAAGTTCACAAATCCTAAGTTTTCCTTGCTGGACTACACAGTTTTCCTCCCTTTTGTGCAGTATCCAGCTTGTAGAGCGTGACTTTACAACCAATTGTCGACATATCTCGAGCCCTCATCCCCAATGATGGAAAAAAGAAATCCGGCTCAAAAAATATTCCACAACTGAATCCTGTCTGGTAGCAAGACCAGCTACTTCATGTATTCCATTGTAGCATCGTAGGCAGCTGTCAAATCTCAATGAACAATTAATCTGTAATAACACTCATTTTCATACTTGTACTCTTGAAGAGCATGCAAACCTAACCAGTAAAATACCCATCCAACAATGAATAGTCGGCCTTTAAATTTCTATGTTCTATTTTCCCAGTGGCAATCCTATATCTCACTACACTGTTCTTCAATATTCAATATTCAAATTATTCCAGATATTTCTTATTATTACGTTATTACAAACAATCTTTTACTCTGTAGGTCTTTCCAGAAAAGAACAATTTACCTTGTCAAAACTCGAACGTATCATATTCTTCTTTGGCACTTGGATACATCTACCTTGAAGAATTGGTCACTGAATTTTATTCATTTGGGCAAATACAATGAGATGCTCCACATTAAATTTTAGGCACAATTTAGTTTATTTCAGTCATGTTAAAGATAATATCATTGGTACTATTATTTATATTTATTCTGCACAGTTTTGCTTTGAAGGCTTATTTGAAGCATACAATAAGAAGCATTGTTTTTTACAGTTAGCCTGATTGTATTTCATACAGGGAACATCAAATAGTAGTAGCTACTTAAACCATCTGTGTTGTATCCAACACAATATGACCAAAATATCAAGCATTTATTATCGTAATTATTATCAGATTAATCACATGAACTATTGAAAACTGGAAAACTGTATTTTATTTTATTTTTGTATAAGATTGAGAGTGACCAATGTAAATATTTTACATTGAGCAATACCAGAAAGTATTACATGAACAGCCCATAAAACACATTATTAATTTCCATTTTTAGTATTGTGGAGTGTGACCATAAAATGTTGATGGACATGTTCATAGAAACTTGTCTGCAATAATGTTTAATCCTGAACTGTTGTTTTACCAAGGAAAATGTTTTTTCTTCTTCATATTTCACTGTCGCATTATGATATTGAAACTGTTAATATGATTTCAACAGTGTGTAAATGGATATATCAAAATTAAAATTAATTTTATATCAACCTCGCTTGCCCACTGTTAAATAATCTTGAACTATTGTGAGCGGGTCAAACAATGTCTATGTTCCCTTAGGTTAGAATTTTAGTCCATTAATTATGGAATTGATACATGAATAATAAACTATCTTTCCCACTGTGATATTTCTTAAGAATCAGATTATAAATATCTCTATATATATTATTTGCAGCTGGATAGTTTCTTTAGCAGCATGATCACTCTTGCTTGTTTCATCTTGTAAGGCTGTAATAATCTATTTATATAGTGCTTTGGATAGCTCAGTGCAGCATGATAATTCAGAGACATTATCAGAGAGATGTCACTCTGTAAATATTCACTTTAATTCATATTTCTAATATTTCATAGTTTGGCAATGAATGACATATTTTTTAGACAATAATTCATTATAATTTGCAGCCAACAACGTAAACATCACACAGTTCCACTTGAAGATTTGGGATCCTCAGTCCTGCATTGCGAAAAGCTCACTCGGAGTGTGCACAACCAGGAGAAAAAGGTCTTTACCTACACTACTTTATACATAAAACCCTACACCAGATAGAATTGGAATGGATATTACTAGTTCTTTTTCATTCGATGAAGAGAAGAAAGGTCCATCACTTCATGTAAAAGCACATGAAGAGCGCACCAAGTAGAGAACTTACAAGGAGAAGAAATATGCATTTTGATATCAACTGCTCTTCTATTTCAGACTCAGCTTCCCCAGTAAAAAATGTCTAGCTTGTACTACGGTTTTTCCTACAAATATCACTTTGTAGCTATGTTGACGGCCCTTAATTGCAAATATTTCATATTTGATAGCAAAGGGTTTTAACAGAGATAGCATTGAGCAGTAATACGTTGCAAATGTAAGCTTGCTAAAAAAACGACTTGCCTGTTTTGTAATGAAGACAGTACATGGCTGGCTATAGAGTTGTAATGTGGGAATTAGAGTGACAATTTGATCACCACTATCCAAGTTGCTAAGACGCTACTGCAAATCGGAGGTTCTGGGACATTTACATTTCAAACTAGACAGACATGTTCACTCCATGGAGCGAATACGACGGGAATCAGCTGCAAGGAAGAACCAGCCTTGAGTGGCTGTTCTCATTCAAGACAGGCAAGTCTTGTAGGTTTGAGGTTGTTCTTTTAGAGTGACGACCCCATGTCACTTGGACAATCCCGATAGACTGGCCTTGTAGCTGTACATCCTTGAACCCACTGCATCACCGCCGCGAGGTGCCAACCCCTTGATGGCCCCCCAATGCTCTTTCTTCATGTGCTTTTCTAGAGTGCTGTAGACGGAAAAGGGCATGTTGCAGACCTCACACTTGAAGACTTCTTTGGCACCATGGCCATGGGTCTTCATGTGGCGTGTAAGCTTGCTACTCTGGGCGCAAGCATAGGAACACAGCTGACACTTGTAGGGCTTCTCTCCAGTGTGCGAGCGACGGTGAACGGTTAAGTTGCTGCAATTCTTGAACTGCTTGCCACAGTACTCGCAGGTGTCGCTTCGTTTCTCCGAGGCTCTGTGCGGCTTCATCCTGTTGGGAGGACTGGTGTACGGCAGTATGGCGTGGGACGACATCGCCCCGTTGGATTCCATAAAGCGGCGCTGAGCAAAGAAAGCAGCTGGACCGCCGTTCGGTGTTCCAAGAGGGCTGGCGTCAGAGCGGACGGGTGATGACATGAGTGGTTCTCTGTGTATTGCTAAAGGTGAAGGTGGCCATGATGGTGCTGGCTCCATTTTGATGCGATTGGTCACCAGTTCCAAGTCGGACATTGCGCTACGCTCTACCATAACATGTGATGGTAAATGATGGTTGGCTTGTAGGAGGGTATGCTCTGCTCGTCGCATTGCCATCAAACCCAATTCAATGGGACTGTGGTGATCATGTGGTCTAGATGGAGGCCTGCTGTTAGAATTACGTGGATGGTGGTTCTCGGGTGAAGACACATCACTTGATGATCGAGGATTAAAGATTACATTCCGTTCTGCTATGGCTTGCTTGAAAGCTTCGCTGTATTGCTGAATTTCATCTAATCCAGAATTGACCATCATCTCACATAACAATGAAGAAGGATGATGGGAGTGATCTTTCGGACTACCTCTGCTCATGTTCTTGTGACGTTCACCATCAGCACTAGCTGGCCTCCTATCCTTGGACTTCTCTTCTTCAAACTCTCGTTCTTGTTCTGAAGATTTGGCCTCCCCCTCAGATTTCACAGTGATCTCTTCCTGCTCCTCTTTCCTAGGTTGCTTGAGCTTTATATCAACCATATCTGCCACATCAGGCTCTTCCTCCTCTTCTTCCTCTTCTTCTTTCTCCTCCTCCTCCTCCTCCTCTTCCTCCTCCTCTTCCTCCTCCATCTCTTCTTCTTCTGGGGAGGAGCTATCACTCATATTCTTCCCCTCACCCATGCCGATTGAGCCATCCTGCCCTTCATCCTCATTGCTGTTTTCATCCTTATCATCCATGTCTGGAGCAGATCCCATCGCTGATGGTGGTTTATTCATATGTGTCTTCATGTGTCGCTTTAGCTTGCTGGCTTGGCTGCAAGCATGGTCACACAGATGACACTTAAAGGGTTTCTCACCAGTATGAGATCTGCGATGAACCACCAGGTTGCTCTGGAACTTGAACGTCTTCCCGCAGAATTCACACGACTTGCCCTTTGCTGAGAAAGATGGATACCTGCGGGTTGGATAGCCTGGGTAGGGCAGACGCCTGTGTGGTGATAGCGGTGGGCTTTTGTTGGCCAACAGCTTCAAGCGGTTTGCAGCACTGGAATCTGTTGGTGGTTGATGTTGCGGTTGCAGGTGTGGTGGTGGTAGGGGTGGCGGTGGAGGAGGAAATGGCAGCTGTGGAGAGTGAAAATCAGCTATGCTGACAGGTATATGTGGTGGTAACTCTGCAAGTCTGCCGTCGTGAGGATGCATGTGATGGTACTCCCTCCGATGAATATGATTCATATGCGGGTAGAGCCTCTCCATACTGGGTGAATACAGCCTATCTGGGCCCGTTGGACGAATTAAGACTGGAAACGGTGGCGGATGACCATCCACAGGGTGAGAATGCGGACTGTGCACTGGTATAGGAGCCAGTGGAGGGTGAATAATATGTGGTAAACTACACTCCATTGGCTTGGGAATAAGCTGCTTGCTGGTGCTAGATGTGGTGCTTTTGGGTGAGAGAGAGTCCGCCTGGGAGACGGACTCAACAGACACCGACCGGGATCTTGAGAACGGTCTCTCATCCTTTGGAAATGTGTAGATCTGCATCCCATGGTCTTCCTGTGCGTGTTTCAGTAGAGTTGCAGCATGCTCGAACAAGCCCTTGCAAGACACACATATGTATTTTTCAGCTGCATGAAGATCTGGAAATAAGAAAATAAGAAAACAAAAGAGGGAAAACCCATTTAGTACTATTATTGAGCACATTTGCTTACAGCTCCAAATGAAGCATTATCATGTATAAATTGCCTTCCAACATTCTTGTTGACATTACCCACATCAAATATCAATATTTGATCATACCACTATTTCAATATTAAACCAAGCTGCCGCAAAATTTGACCAATATCAATCAAATGATAATGAGAGGGCCCTACATTGCATATGAAGTACTTCAAATTAATTTGAATTTCATGTCTGCCCATTTAATTTCATAATTTACAGACTTTTGAAATGAAATGTTGAGAGATATTAATTGCAGTCCAGAGTATTATATTTGAAAGTAGAAAAATTTAAAGCAACAACTCTCTCCTTATAAATAGAAAAGACAGGAAAGTGGTCAGAGAAATAGTCAAATGGATTAGAGAGAGAGAGAGAGAGAGAGAGAGAGAGAGAGAGAGCAGGAGAGAGATAGGGAAAGAGATAAAGATTGAGAGGGAAATATTTGAGAAATTGGGAGATCTTGTAGTATCCTAATAAAATCTTGTACTTCACCCTCAACAGTCCAAAAACATTCATACAAAAATATACATTAAAAAGTACAGAAAATCACAAAAAATTAATGCATGTGACGGATGGGTCGTAAATTAGTGCTAATCTATGAATACAATCCTGTTTATAATTCATATAACGGATGTCATCAACGCAGCCAAAATATGAAATCATTCTAGAGGTTAAGGAAAACAACGGGACAGCTTCATTAATACATGCAAGCCATAGACCGCATGAAAAGAAATAAAAACTTTAAGGTTGGAAAGAGAGAGTGTTTTTTTTTCTTCCATTTTTGATTAGAAGTCATCCTAAGATGAGGTGGTTTTGCATTACTGCCAATGGATAATGATATGACACTGTGGGATATACTGGGATTTGACGGACTCACTGTCTTCATGAATATTCTGTATGGCATCCATAACTCCTATTTGCAGACAGAATAATGCATACATCATACATACATACATCTACCATTCCAATGTACCTCTCTTCAACACTCTTATGACTTTTGAAAGAAACTTGTAGAAGACGCTACTTTCAATTTTTCATAAGAGGCCAAGATTGTAATTATTCCCACATAATTGTTGGACAAGAAATTTAGAAATGTGTTTGTAGAATGATTACGTATTCCAATACTCTAGACGATTAAGAAGAAGAAGAAAAAAACAGGTACAAATCCACAGATTACAGATCCCCTAGTTCTGACTGATCATTAATGACATGTAATCAAATGTCAACTCGGAAAAGGACGAAAAAAGCTCTTATCGGGCCATTTAATCGGATTAATGTCTCTTTTAAAAAAAACTTGGAATTAGATGTGCATTTCCTAACATTTAAATTATATATCTATTTATATTGCTAGGGACACAGGGGCACATATTTGAAAGATGAGGATATGATTTTGTACATCTACCTGGCAAGACTGTGGAAAGAAAACATTCCATTACGCATTTATGTCTTGGTGTAGTAAAGATATACTTTTTAAGGAATGTGGGTGAAATTAACAAAATAATATTTTTTTAATAAGTGATCTATGGTATTGAGTAGAATGGGTCATTTAGGTATGCCGAAGAATGTAGGAGGATCCATTGCCATCGGATGTACATTTCTAGAAATTATCAAGTTTTGACCATACTTCATGTTCATCTACTAAATACACTTTAGTATGTTCATGTCATAATAATAATAATAATAATGATAATAATAATAATATGTCGTGTTTACCCAGGGTAGCCTCATCAGTATTCATACTGTTCTCCCTGAGGGCCCTGCAATCATCTAAATTGTGCAGTGATACATTCAATTATTAAAATTGTATAAAAACTTATTCAAACTTATTAGAATTTATCATAATTAAAAATGGTTTACAGTTGCTCCCCCTCTTTTCACCCTCTTCCTGGCCACACAACAAAATGTTCATATGAGGAAGGAGGTCAATAATAGAGTTATACATGCAATTCTACAAACCCGCAATGAATAAACGTCTAATATGGAAGAAATGGCTGAAGAAAGACATCTCTTTCTAAAGAGGATGGGTTTTCCATCTGTATACGTCAAGGCTAAGTAGGTCAAGCAGCATGCAAGCCTAATTAGGTCTAATTTCAATACCAGGCCTCAAGGTCCAATCGGTCAAACGACCTTGGTCATTGGTCTACAATGATAGCCATCTTCTCTCTTAATTTGACCATCACTGCTGCCAAAACTACAAGTTCAGCACTGTTGACACACATTTTCCTCTCCTTGTAGCTCCCCTTTCTCCCTTCCTCTGTTCATTCTGTGTCTTTCTGTGTTTAAGTTCTCCCCCCCCCCCCTCCCAACCTACCATCATTATCTCTCCATTTCATTCACTTGACCCACTTCTTTTAATTGACCATAAAGGTGTAAAGAAGGGCGGTATGGTTTTATGGCTGTTTAAAGCGAAATTGAATTGTGATTTTTTTTTCCCACCGAGGTGTGAAGCTTAGAATGATGCTCTGGGTGAAAGCAAATTGGGTCATACAAAGGTCAAAGTGAATACCCGCACAATTGCTTGACTAGACAGGCCTATGTCTGAGACGGCTTTTATTATAGAAGATAAAATGGCAAGTTTCAGTATGCAGGCATTCATCTGCTAATTACTAGTACCTCCTTCGAAAGTGCAATTCTGTGTTACATAGTTGTAACAGTTCCTCAATCAACATGATGTTAACATTTCATTAAATCTAATTGTAAAGCTCCTGATTAAGCTTGTTCAAGGATCTCCAACACAGCAACAACTACTAATTTGTACATCAAACAATCTTTGGTTCTTACTTACGATATATGCTGCTTCATTTGTAATCAAGGGAAAAGGTGTTTTACTTATCAAGGAGACAAATAGAGTGTTTTTGGAGCTAAAACAATAGAATCAACTTCAGTATTAACATATCTTACAGTCAAACATAATAATGTAAGGCATAAAAGACCCACTTTAGCACCTGGATTGCCTCTTTCAGTGAGCAATCTCTTTATCACTGTATTTTACAAAGTTGATAACCTGACCTCCTTTTTTGTAAAGTTGAAATAGAGGTCACTCAAAACTGAACTGACCACAGCACATGGTCCATTGGTTAAACGCAAAGGGAGTATTATGCTTTCTGGACAACTGACAGTGAGTATAATAAAACTATCAGTAATGGAGGGACTGAACGAGAAGTTCATTCTGACTTATTGGTGCGACACTAATAAGATATAGGGTAGAGTGCTCAATACTTGTTGTGAATTCTATTTCTGACCAGTTGCCCATTCTTGGCTACCGATCACTGCATTTATAAGCCATCCATTAAGAAGTATGTCAATGACGGCTTAGCTTTCAGAAATATTAATATTCAAAATCCTCCTCTTGATGTAAAAAATTATCCATTGCAAAAAGGAAGCATAATTATAATATATCTTTTACATGCTGTTAATGAATTAGTGTTGCATGTTCTTTGGTAAACTGACTTGGTGATATGGAGAGAAAAAAAGGAAATATCAGAGGGTGAAAAGGTTGGAATAACATATTGTTTTCCTTATCAAAATATGTGCAGTCCCATTTTGTTACTGTATTGACTAATATGTCACTTCAATTGCATGTGTCGGTGAAAGTCCAACAAAGGTGATTTTAAATCCAGTTTATCATGGCTTTAAAATGAATATGCAATATGCATGGTTTTAAAATGAATATGGAAGTACAAATAGAATGCAAACCTTTGTTTAAAAATTAACAGGAACTGACAATTAGCAAAAACAGTACATGCACTTCCTGATAAAGACCCCATGCAGAATAGTGCATCAATAACACCCTCATGAGAATCAAGATGACCGCTCACCACAGTGAAAGTGCATGTGACCTTCAACTGGTCTGTGGTCAAGTTGAACTGGCCTTTAATGGCCAAACCAGGTAATATGCTTGGACTTCTTCATGACCCTGAGGGATCCTCTCAAAATAGCCTCAGGAGATGAATTGGGCTCAAAGATTTTGGATCCCTTTATATTTGATCACTATGAATTAATCAAACTATTAAGATGTCCAGGAAAGGGCTAATGAGATGAAACTTGCCCAAGATCAAGCACTGCCAATAACTAGAACATACAGTTTGATAGTATGAAGAACGCCACCTGTTGGTGGAAAACTATGCAGTCATAATTACAAGAGTTGCAGCTTTATTGATAATAGTCATGAATAAGGTAATTTGTAATTAATAAAATGTCAAATCTCTTCATAGTGAACCAATTCTCTAATAATAATGAGGAAATAAACTTCAGGTCGGAAAAAGATGACTCAACAGGAACATAATATTAAATCCCTGATTTCAAGTCTCAGTAAAACAAAAAATACCAAAATGAAAAAAAAACAAAACAAAACAACAATGGTCAGGGTTTCATAAAATAGTTTGTAGATATAGACTAAGTGCACTCTATTTTTGACCAGTAGATAAACAGTCACAGTCATAAACCTTGAGACAAGTTGTAATAATTTGACACAGACTTTGTTATGTTATGTCATCAGTGCTAAGAGGCAGGAGTTACTGGACAACTTAGACCGGTCTGTACATTGAGGCCCATTTAAAATGCAAAATGCATAGTCTCACCTTTTTTTTCCCCTCTCTCTCTCTCTGTCTCTCTCCCCCTCTCCTTGTCTCTATTTGTATTTCTCTTTGCATTTTAATATTTTATGCATCCTTCTCTTCTACTCGCCCTGTTCCCTATTTACCAGTATACAATTTTCCCTTTTCTTGAGGTCCTCTTTCCACTTCTCTTTTTAAAATCTTCTTAACTGATATTTTCCCTCCCACTCTCTTTATATATTATACAGATCAACTCTTAATATGAAAATACTCGCCGTTCCAACCAAAATCTGTATAATTGCAACCCATGAGAGCAGAACTCTGATGGGAATCATCCAAGTGGGTCTGCAATGGCTAGACTAGACAATGTATACAAACTCCTGACCAGCTAGCTTGTAATCACAACCTTGAGGTAATCTTATAGTATCCTGCACAGTTATGTAATCAGTCTGGACTCTTGGCTCAAATGACCTTGTCCTCAGATTCAGGTCATGATATATACAGCCTTTTCACACACAGCTAAAATTCTATAAACATGATATAGTTTAAAGGGTTTTAAAATAATCACCTGAACATACGACATCATTCACACACAGAAATTTCAGTGTGATCGTTAATCGTTTCGTGATTAACTACTGCTCGTAAAATGCGCAGTAGTGCCATTGCGCATTGAAGGTCATGTCATATCAATCAAAGCGCACGCTCCATCCAGTTTAAACACGTCTGAGACAAGTTTAAACACGAATAACCTTTCACACAATGTCAAGCTCTCTAGATACGAACTTCGTATCTGCAGCCTGCTTTTAGGGGCGTATGAATCGGGACTTTGTATCTATCCCAACATCGTATAAACGATGTTCACAGAAGGGAAATTTTCTATAAACATGTTTAAAACTGTTGAGTTAAACACGTTTATACTAATCATCTCTAGATACGATGAATTTTAGCTGTGTGTGAAAAGGCTGATACATGTACAATCTGACTGGACCATGTGGGTCTGCAATGGCTAAACTAGACAATGTATACAAACTCCTGACCACCAGCTTGTAATCACAACCTTGAGGTAATCCTATAGTATCCTGCAGAGTTATGTAACCAGTCTGGACTCTAGTCTTGACTCAAATGACCTTGTCCTCAGATTCAGGTCATGATATATACATGTACAGTCTGACTGGACCATGTGGGTCTGCAATGGCTAGACTAGACAATGTATACAAACTCCTGACCAGCTAGCTTGTAATCACAACCTTGAGGTAATCCTATAGTATCCTGCAGAGTTATGTAATCAGTCTGGATTCTTTAACTGACCTTGTCCTCAGATTCAGGTCATGATATACATGTACAGTCTGACTGGACCATGGATATAAACCGGTACCAGCAACACACAGGACTTACTACTCCTTCACTCACCTCACAATGGTATGTGTTATACATTTGTGTGTAATTTGTTATATTTTTTCTAAATGCTTGTGTAAATGTATCTACATTGGGAAAAGGAATACTTAATATTTAATATTGGAATATATATATTTGATATTATATGATTATCATCATCATCATCATCATCATCATCATCATCATCATCGTTGTCATGGTTGTGGTCGTCATTGTCATCATCACCATCCTTATTATCATTATTATCATTGTCATCATTATCTCTAATATTATTCTCATTATTACTATTTTTATTGTTTTCATTATTAAATGATATGGTACACGGATGAAAAAATGTGTTCCTGTTTCCACTATCACTAACCTTTTAAACTACACATGTAAAGATGACAGAGAAGCCAAGATAATATGTGTATCAGTTTCATGGTAATTTAAAAGCAAAAATAATGGGAAAGAAGACTAAAAAATTGAATTTCCCCTTAGTCTCATAACATAAATGTATTGATTAAGGCCTAGCTTGCCAGCTGAATCATCAAAAATAATAATTATGCTATAATAGTTTCATTATAAAGACTAAAGAAATATTTTACTTTAGGGTAAAATAGATGACCAGATCAACTTTATGTTTCAAGGAATCCTTGACCTAGTTGTTCCATTAGAAAGCTCACATATCAATTTTGTTGTTACAAGATAACCCACATTATACAGGTCTATAGGCAATGCCCTGGGTCAGTATCATATCTCGGAAATAATTGTGCATTTTGATATCTCAAATACATTCAGAACAGCTATTATTGAATTGTTCTATTTGCAAAGAAATGTTTGGGTTATTTGTGTTGAATACTCTTAATTTTCCTTTCTTCTTATTTTTGATCACGCTTGAGATTGAAACAGATTTACCTATACACAACTAGATTGGACATAATATTTTGTGTGCATATTTGTTTAGAAATTTTGGGGAAAACTCATTTGGATACAAAATTGTTTCCAAAAGGCTAATACTAGGGTTAATGTCCTTACAATTCACAGATATCTCTCTTTCAGCTAAAAAAAAAAAGATCAGTCAATTAAATTCAGGTTTTCTCAAGAATTTAATAGTGATATTGCTTTAACTTTCATTTAAAAAAAATATATATATACCTGGTATATATATGACAAAATAAGATAAGACAAGACATGTGAAAGAAAATTAAAATAAATGACTTTATCAATTTCTGAAACGATACTGACCAATAAATATTTACATGAAAACTGACAAAGTAATAGAACATACATTAAATAGAGACAGGTTAAACTGAGCCAGGATACCAGTAAACACCATCAACTGAACCATTTTCTTCATCCTTGTCCTATTAGATGGGACTTCCTTTATTGTAGATTTACCAGCGTGTGGATGTATCATGACACAAATGATTAATTTCATTTTCAAATAAAACAACTTCTTGAATGAACACTGTTTACTCCTGTGCAGTTGAGTAGACGAATGGGTTTATTATGATATAAAATCTGCCTCTGAATGAAAGGGGAGTCGTATTGATTGAATCCATAAACAAATTCTTGAAAAGATGAAGGTGGAATTAAGACCAGAGCTTGAGTCCATGTTGTTTTGGGTTTGAGGTATGAGAAGAGTGATGAGAAGAAATATACTTGATTAAGGTAAGGTGAAGGATCGAGATTGAAGCAAAGTACAACAGTGAATAAGGTAGACTGTTTTGTATCATAATTTTTTATCCAAAGAAGAAACCTTACAGACAGCCTCAGAGACTGCTTTTCAGAAAATCTGTGCACGTAAACAGGCATCATGTGAGCTATATATTATAAATAAACATTGTAGTAAACATGAAATATGAATATCTGACAATATCTTAACTAGTTGAATATGGTTTGACTATGGTTTAGTACAAGACACAAGTTCTATAGACCCTAACCTGAAATGATATCTCACATGTACTATTATCAATGGGTTAATCAATAATTTCTAAAGAATAAAATGAAATTTGATGTGGCATTTCTGGCTGACCTGTAAAAAAAAGCATCAGCAGTGCTCACTACTAAAAAATGAGACATAACAAATAATGCAAAAATTGTTAATAACCCCCAAATGAAATGCATCACATCATATCTTTTTCTTTTGCTATGCTTCGTATCATTTGACAGGATTTCAGTGCCGATTCAATTTCAGGGATGAAGGAATAGGAAAAATGTCGGGGGAAACCGATAAAAGGAAAGATAAACAGATAAAACACCCTTAGATTTAGGAAAGCAAATACACATGCATATCATACTCATTAGGCACAGTATGTTACTCATGTGGTCTATACGCATACATGAATGTGTATATATAAACACGCAGGGAGGGCATTAGCCATTCAGGCCTGCAAACCACAGTCACATGAAGATCCATGTGAATGTGATTAACATTAGTGTGGCTTAATCTCTCTCTCCTCATCTCTCTCTCTCCTCATCTCTCCATCTCACTTCCTTCTTCACCACCGGACCTCTATCCGCCGGTGAAGACGTCTCCTTAGTCTCCTCCACACACTGACCACTGTGATTCATAAAACATCCCTGGCATGTCGACAGGAATGCTTAATGTCCGCATCACACCACATTCATAATATATAGGGCGCATGTGTGTGCATTTCTTATGCCATCAAATTGGCTACATTAGCAGAACTGGGTAGGGGTACCCGTCAACGATATCCTTAATGTTGAATACTCCTTGAACCTCCAATGTTCGGTCTACTTTATGAAATGCTAGCCAACATATTAATGAGGCTGAAGCTGTCTGCATTTACTACTGTATTTGTATGCAAAGCAGCGATATTGTGGCAACACAAAATTAATCTTCCTCCGACTAGATACTGCTGCATTTCAATTTCTGAAGAAAACAGGCACTTGAAATACATCATTGTCAATAAATGAATGAATGCTGTGGTACTGCTAATAAGGAAAGCAACCAGACTAATCCTTCAGAGAGCAATTGCCCAAATACATGCATGCATTCATGAAGAATGAACATAAGATTAGATAGAGGTACAGGGGAGAGAAAGTGAGATTAAGAGAAGATAATTAGATAAATATAATAAGAGAAAATAAGAGATACAGAGCTAAACAAAGATAGGTGAGAGAAAAAGAGAGAAAGAGAGTAAGAGAGAAAGACAGGGAGGTAGAAAGAGAGAGATATATATGATATAATATATATATATATAAAGAGAGAGAGAGATAGATATAACGAGAGAGAGAGAGAGAGAGAGAGGTGTTGGAGAGGGGATATTATTCTTGTATTGAAGCTATCCAATGTCTGTGTTGTGACTAAGGAGTTCTGATGATGTGATTGGGTCGTGATGCTGTGACAGCCCAGCCCCTTTCATGTCGCTTTGTATTTCCTCACCGATGACTCCAGAGGAACAACTTTATAATCAGATCTCAAAGCACGTAAATATATCTCTCATTTACAGGTAGGTCAGCATCATTCTGCATCATTATACACACACCCCGTTGGCCTGGACGCCCTTCCCGTATGTGAGCGTAACTATCTCTTGAAAATCAGCCAAATGTTGTCATGTTTGCCTTGAACATTCATTAAAAGTGAGAGAATCATTTCTTAAAATGTTTCAATGTTTCTCCTTCAATGTTCTTGAGGAATTTTTTTTTATCTGATGCATCTCGTCCACACACACTTCAGAGAAAGCAGATAGTGTTATTTTGAGAAGGCTGAAAAGATTGAGGTCAAGATATAATCAGGGACATTTCATGCTGACACTTCTGGATTGAAGAAAGCAAACAAAATTGGTAGTAAATGTTAATCTCTGACCGTCACACGGACATAGGTGTATCACAAGACACCTGCGAATTAACAAATTGCCTTCCAAAACCATGTAGGCTCTTTATGAAGACTATGGGAATGAAAGAATTCACCAGTCAATGAGTTAACCTGTAGCATCTAGTTAAATGAAACAAGATGAGTTAATCCAGAGGCAACCCTAGGATCTTTGATCTTACTCTAAATGTCACACATCAACAAATATCTTGGAGGTTAAACACCATCTTGACAAAGATACAAACGACTATTTCTATCACTCACCACATGTGTGTACTGAATCTTGTACTTAATGTTATCGACTGCATACAAAGTAGCAATGATGTCATCAATAGTTAAGCTTCCTGATTAAGTTTCATTCTTTCTATTTACTCTTTAAAAATATCTAATGATAATGATCTAATGAACAAAATCTTACAATTTCATACTGCAAATTTGAGTAAAATCAGCCTTGTAATGACTTTCATTTGTAACATACTCATCAATTTGGTAACATACGCTTGACAGAATTAATTTTTCAAAAAATTATGTGTTTTTCTTTTTACTACAGTCTCACAGATGTTTGATATTCACACACAGAGTTTATGAATCAGAGTATTATACCATATTTACTCAAACTTTTCTTTGATATTCAATCCCTATTTTTTCCTTTAGAATAAGTCTCACCAGGATAAAACCAACAATCAATTATATACATTATGGAATAACAGGGGGGGGGGGGGGGGGGAGGTGGTTACACTTGAGCTTTAAACACATAGTCCTGGGTGTCAGAGTGAACTGAAGCAATAATAATCCAACATATACAGTATATCAGTAGCTATCTCCTGTTTAATATTCATGTATAAATGCTAGTGTGTATTTCTTCCCACTCTGGCCATACCCTAAGTGTTATTTTTAGGCCATTGCTAGTTTCTGCTCAGTTGTAGGCTGAGGAGAAAAGACCAAAGGCAAAGACCACAAAACACAATCGATCAATGATTAGGGTTTTAGATTGCAATGAAATTCCAGCATTATGATACGGACAAACCAATATAGTACTTGTCTTTGTCCGGGGAGCCCAATCGCTGACCCCTGGATCTGCAAACTGGGAGGATTTGTCACGCAATACGAACCAACAGACCATGAACTTGTATTGTTGATTATCAAGGCATTGTCATGAAGTGCAGGGGGGAATTTACCAAAGATGATTACAGGGTAGGGTTGATATTAGAAGGGGGGCGGTAGCTGTACATATTTTATTTTGTCGTCTTTCTTTTGTTGAATGATGTAATATTCTAGAAGTGCCACGGAGAGGCAGTGATGCTGTAGCTTTAGACAAGACAACGATCAATCACTGTGATATTGCCATGATTTTTTTAAAGAAACTAATATCATCTGAGAGACAGAAAGGCATCAACAGACTCCTTTCCTTGTAAATTCATTGATGACAT